TTGGACTCGGAATTTTGGGGTTCCCTGGACTCAAATCTTGGAGTTCCCCATTGGATTTTGGGGTTCCCTGGACTCGGATTTTGGGGTTCATTGGACTCGGAATTTTGGGGTTCCCTGGACTCAAATCTTGGGATTCTCCATTGGATTTTTGGGGTTCCCCATTGGATTTTTGGGGTTCCCTGGACTTGGAATTTTGGGGTTTCCTGAACTCGGAATTTTGGGGTTTCCCATTGGATTTTTGGAGTTCCCTGGACTGAGAATTTTGGGATTCATTGGACTCAGATTTGGGGTTCCCCATTGGATTTTTGGGGTTCCCCATTGGATTTTTGGGGTTTCCTGAACTCAGAATTTTTGGGTTCATTTGACTCGGAATTTTGGGGTTCCCCATTGGATTTTTGGGGTTCCCCATGGGATTTTTGGGGTTCCCTGGACTGAGAATTTTGGGCTTCCTTGGACTCAGATTTGTGGTTCCCCATTGGATTTTTGGGTTTCCCCATTGGATTTTGGGGTTTCCTGAACTCAAAATTTTGGGGTTCCCCGCTGGATTTTTGGGGTTCCCTGAACTCAGAATTTTGGGGTTCCCCACTGGATTTTTGGGGTTCCCCTGTGCATTGAACCCATTCCAAACCCAGCTCAGCTCTCCCCATTCCAAGAGAGGGGAACTGGGGGGCTCCAGACCCCTCGGGGGTCCCCCAAACCCCGCAAGCTCCATCTCCTCCCTGCAGTGACCCTTGGGGACCCTCCTGTCCCCCCTTTTCCGTGCATGCCCCAGGAGCATCTCCCACCTCCTCCTGATTATTCTGTATTTTTAATTTTTTTTATTTTTACCTTTTTATTCTCCCTTTTTTCTGATTTTTTTCTTTTTTTTTACTCTCCCTTTTTTAATTTGATTTTTCCAAGTAACCGTCATGGGCAGGCACCTCTGGCCTGGGACTCGTTGGGAATTTAATTTAATTTATTTGCATTTATTTTGTTGGGTTTTTTTTTTGTTGTTGTTTTTTATCATTGTTTTCTCCTCCCGGCAGATCTGGAGGGAGGCAGGGATTGAAGTGATCAATAAACAGAATTCTGGTTGCTTTATCCCCGTTTTGGGGGGCTCCTCCTGCACCCCAAAACCCTCCCTCTGTGTCGGGGGGCTCAGTTTTGGGGTGAAAATGGGTGAGTTTGGGATCCTGGGGGGATTTAGGGGTTAATAAATGTCAGTCCTAAAAGGGAATGGGGGTGGGTGAGGGTCTTGGGGGGTTCCCTCTGTGCCCACCCCAAAAAGGGCTGGGATTGGGGGGTCCCACCCTAAAAAGGGCTGGGATTGGGGGGTCTCCACCACAAAAAGAACTGGGACTGAAACTGGGGGGTCCCCACCCTAAAAGAGCTGGGATTGGGGGGTCCCCACCCTAAAAGAGCTGGGATTGGGGGGTCCCCACCCCAGAAAGAGATGGGTCTGGGATTGGGGGGTCCCCACCCCAAAAAGAGCTGGGATTGGGGGGTCCCCACCCCAAAAAGAGATGGGGCTGGGATTGGGGGGTCCCACCCCAAAAAGAGCCAGGATTGGGATTGGGGGGTCCCACCCTAAAAAGAGCTGGGATTGGGGGGTCCCACCCTAAAAAGGGCTGGGTTTGGGGGGTCCCCACCCCAAAAAGAGCTGGGACTGAAACTGGGGGGTCCCACCCTAAAAGAGCTGGAATTGGGGGGTCCCACCCCAAAAAGAGCTGGGATTGGGGGATCCCACCCTAAAAAGGGCTGGAATTGGGGGTCCCCACCCCAAAAAGTGATGGGACTGAAACTGGGGGGTCCCCACCCTAAAAGAGCTGGGATTGGGGGGTCCCCACCCCAGAAAGAGATGGGTCTGGGATTGGGGGGTCCCACCCTAAAAAGTGATGGGATTGGGGGGTCCCCACCCCTAAATGAGCCAGGATTGGGATTTGGGGGTCCCACCCTAAAAAGAACTGGGACTGAAACTGGGGGGTCCCCACCCTAAAAGAGCCGGAATTGGGGGGTCNCCTCATGGAGTGGAGGAAATCTGAGAAAAATCCAATTTAGGACAATGGGAGTTTTCTGGAGTTGGGATTTTTGGGGTTGTGATTTCTGCTCATGGAGGAAATCTGAGAAAAATCCATTTTGGGATGGCAGAGTTTTCCTGGGTTTTTAGGGTTTGTGATTTTCACTCATGGCCAGGAGCAGATCTGAAAAAAATCCACCTTGGGGACAATGAGGATTTCCTGGATTTGGAATTTTTGGGGTTGTGATTTTTGCTCATGATATGAAGAAGATCTGAGAACAATCAACGGTTCCACCCCCTCAGGACGGTGGGGTTTAATTGAATTTGGATTTTTTGGGTTTTGTGATTTTCCCTCACAGCATGGAAATCTGGAGATGTGAAAAAATTCCTCCTCAGGACAGCGGGGGTTCCCTGGACTCGGAATTTTGGGGTTTCCTGAACTCAAAATTTTGGGGTTCCCCATTGGATTTTTGGGGTTCCCCACTGAAATTTTGGGTTTCCTGAACTCAGAATTTTGGGGTTCCCTGGACTCAAAATTTGGAGGTTCCCCATTGGATTTTTGGGGTTCCCTGGACTCAAAATTTTGGAGTTCCCCTCTGGATTTTTGGGGTTTCCTGAACTCAGAATTTTGGGGTTCCCCATTGGATTTTTGGGGTTTCCTGAACTCAGAATTTTTGGGTTAATTTAACTTGGAATTTTGGGGTTCCCCATTGGATTTTTGGGGTTCCCTGGACTGAGAATTTTGGGATTCATTTGACTCGGAATTTTGGGGTTCCCCCACTGGATTTTTGGGGTTTCCTGAACTCAGAATTTTGGGGTTCCCTGGAGTCAAATATTGGGGTTCCCCATTGGAATTTTGGGGTTTCCCATCGTATTTTTGGGGTTCATTGGACTTGGATTTGGGCTTCCCCATTGGATTTTTGAGGTTTCCTGGACTCAAAATTTTGGCGTTCCCCATTGGATTTTTGGGCTTCCCTGAACTCAGAATTTTGGGGTTCATTGGACTCGGAATTTTGGGGTTCCCTGGACTCAAATCTTAGGGTTCCCCATTGGATTTTTGGGGTTCCCTGGACTCGGATTTGGGCTTCCCCATTGGATTTTTGGGGTTTCCTGAACTCAGAATTTTGGGGTTCCCCATTGGATTTTTGGGGTTCATTGTACTCGGAATTTTGGGGTTCCCCATTGGAATTTTGGGGTTTCTCACTGAAATTTTGGGGTTTCCTGAACTCGGAATTTTGGGGTTCATTGGACTCGGAATTTTGGGGTTCCCCATTGGATTTCTGGGCTTCCCCATTGGATTTTTGGGCTTCGTTTGACTTGGAATTTTGGGGTTCCCTGGACTCAAATCTTAGGGTTCCCCATTGGATTTTTGGGCTTCTCTGGACTCGGATTTTGGGGTTCATTGGACTCGGAAATTTTGGGGTTCCCCATTGGATTTTTGGGCTTCACTGAACTGAGAATTTTGGGGTTCATTGGACTCGTAATTTTGGGGTTCCCTGGATTCAAATCTTGGGGTTCCCCATTGGATTTTTGGGGTTCCCCGCTGGATTTTGGGGTTTCCTGAACTCAGAATTTTGGGGTTCCCTGGACTCAAAATTTGGGGTTCCCCATTGGATTTTGGGGTTTCCCTGGACTCAAATCTTGGAGTTCCCCATTGGATTTTTGGGGTTTCCTGGACTCGGAATTTTGGGGTTCCCCATTGGATTTTTGGGCTTCACTGAACTGAGAATTTTGGGGTTCCCTGGACTCAAATCTTAGGGTTCCCCATTGGATTTTTGGGGTTTCCTGAACTCAGAATTTTGGGGTTCCCTGGACTCGGAATTTTGGGGTTCCCCATTGGATTTTTGGGCTTCACTGAACTCAGAATTTTGGGGTTCATTGGACTCGGATTTGGGGTTCCCCATTGGATTTTTGGGGTTCCCCACTGAAATTTTGGGTTTCCTGAACTCAGAATTTTGGGGTTCCCTGGACTCAAAATTTTGGGGTTCCCCATTGGATTTTTGGGATTTCCTGAACTCAGAATTTTGGGGTTCCCCATTGGATTTTTGGGGTTTCCTGAACTCAGAATTTTGGGGTTCCCTGGACTCAAAATTTTGGAGTTCCCCTCTGGATTTTTGGGGTGTCCTGAACTCAGAATTTTGGGGTTCCCCATTGGATTTTTGGGCTTCGTTGGACTTGGAATTTTGGGATTCCCTGGATGCAGAATTTTGGGGTTCCCCACTGGATTTTTGGGGGTTTCCTGAACTCAGAATTTTGGGGTTCCCTGGACTCGGAATTTTGGGGTTCACTGGACTCGGAATTTTGGGCTTCCCCATTGGATTTTTGGGCTTCGTTGGACTCGGAATTTTGGGGTTCCCTGGACTCAAATNGTTTAATTGAATTTGGATTTTTTGGGTTTTGTGATTTTCCCTCACAGCATGGAAATCTGGAGATGTGAAAAAATTCCTCCTCAGGACAGCGGGGGCTCCCTGGACTCGGAGTTTTGGGGTTCCCTGGATGCAGAATTTTGGGGTTTCCCATTGGATTTTTGGGGTTTCCTGAACTCAGAATTTTGGGGTTCCCTGGAGTCAAATATTGGGGTTCCCCATTGGAATTTTGGGGTTTCCCAACGGATTTTTGGGGTTCATTGGACTTGGAATTTTGGGGTTCCCTGGACTCAAAATTTTGGAGTTCCCCTCTGGATTTTTGGGGTGTCCTGAACTCAGAATTTTGGGGTTCCCTGGAGTCAAATATTGGGGTTCCCCATTGGAATTTTGGGGTTTCCCATCGGATTTTTGGGGTTCATTGGACTCGGATTTGGGGTTCCCCATTGGAATTTTGGGGTTCACTGGACTCGGATTCTGGGGTTCCCTGGACTCGGAATTTTGGGGTTTCCCATTGGATTTTTGGGCTTCGTTGGACTCAGAATTTTGGGGTTCATTTGACTTGGAATTTTGGGGTTCCCTGGACTCAAATCTTGGGGTTCCCCATTGGATTTTTGGGGTTTCCTGAACTCGGAATTTTGGGGTTCATTGGACTCGGAATTTTGGGGTTCCCCACTGGATTTTTGGGCTTCTCTGGACTCAGAATTTTGGGGTTTATTGGACTCGGATTTGGGTTTCCCCATTGGATTTTTGGGGTTCCCCCCATTGGATTTTTTGGGTTCCCTGGACTCAGAATTTTGGGATTCATTGGACTCGGAATTCTGGGGTTCCCCATTGGATTTTTGGGGTTTCCTGAACTTGGAATTTTGGGGTTCCCCATTGGATTTTTGGGGTTCATTCGACTCGGATTTGGGCTTCCCCATTGGAATTTTGGGGTTTCCTGAATTCAGAATTTTGGGGCTCATTGGACTCGGAATTTTGGGGTTCCCCATTGGATTTTTGGGGTTCCCCATTGGATTTTTGGGGTTCCCTGGACTCAGAATTTTGGGGTTTCCCACTGAATTTTTNGGTGGTGATGGCCTGCGAGAACCAGCACATGGGAGAGGACATGGTGCTGGAGCCGGGGCTCGTCATGATCTTCGCTCATGGGGTGGAGGAGATATGAGAGGAGTGGTGGAGATATGGGGGGTTTGGGGTTGTGAGTGTTGGTTGTGGAGGAGAGATGAAAAAAATGCAGTTTGGAGATGACAGGGGTTTGATGGACTTGGGTTTTTCCCTCATGGAGTGGAGGAGATCTGAAAAAAATCCACCTTGGGATGGAGGGGGGTTTGTGAAGGAGATGTGAAAAAAATCCAATTTGGAGATAACAGGGGTTTGCTGGACTTGGATTTTTCCCTCATGGAGTGGAGGAGATTTGAGAAAAATTCACCTTGGGATGGAGGGGGGTTTGTGGAGTTGGGGGTTTTGGGGTTGGGAGTGTTGGTTGTGGAGGAGACCCAAAAAAAATCCAATTTGGAGATAACAGGGGTTTGCTGGACTTGGATTCTTAGTGGTCATGGAGTGGAGATCCAAAATAATCCAACATGGGACACTGGGGGTTTCCTGGACTTGGGGTTTTGGGGTTGTCATTATTGGTCGTGGAGGAGAGCTGAAAAAAATCCAATTTGGAGACAGCAGGGGTTTGCTGGACTTGGATTTTTCCCTCATGGAGTGGAGATCGGAGAAAAATCCAATTTGGGACAGTAAGGGTTTCCTGGAGTTGGGATTTTGGGGTTGTGATTATTGGTCATGACATAGACATACAAAAAAATCCAACTTGGGACACTGGGGGTTTCCTGGACTCGGGTTTTTTGCTCATGGCATGGAAGAGATCCAAAAATAATCCACCTTGGGATGGCAAGGGTTTGCTGGACTTGGGTTTTTGGCTCATGGAGTGGAGGAAATCTGAGAAAAATCCAATTTGGGACGGTGGGAGTTTCCTGGAGATGGGATTTTGGGGTTGTGATTATTGGTCATGGAGTGGAGATCCAAAATAATCCAACTTGGGACACTGGGGATTTCCTGGACTTGGATTTTTTGCTCATGACATGGAAGAGATCCAAAAAAAAATCCAATTTGGAGATAACAGGGGTTTGCTGGACTTGGGTTTTTTGCTCATGGAGTGGAGGAGATCTGAAAAAAATCCAATTTAGGACAATGGGAGTTTTGTGGAGATGGGGGTTTTGGGGTTGTGATTGTTGGTCATGGAGTGGAGATCCAAAAAAATCCAACATCCACAAAAGATCCAAAAAAATCCAACATCCACAAAAGATCCAAAAATCCAACATGGGACACTGGGGGTTTCCTGGACTTGGATTTTTCCCTCATGGAGTGGAGGAGATCGAGAAAAATCCACCTTGGGATGGAGGGGAGTTTTGTGGAGTTGGGGTTTTTGCTCATGACATGGAAGAGATCCAAAATAATCCAACTTGGGACACTGGGGGTTTCCTGGACTTGGGTTTTTTGCTCATCCCGTGGAGGAGATCTGAGAAAAATCCAATTTAGGACAGTGGGAGTTTTCCTGGAGTTGGGTTTTTGGGGTTCATAATTTTCATTCATGCCATGGAATAGAGCTGAAAAAATCCAATTTGGAGATAACAGGGGTTTGCTGGACTTGGATTTTTCCCTCATGGAGTGGAGGAGATCTGAGAAAAATCCAATTTGGGACAATGGGGGTTTCTTGGAGTTGGGTTTTTGGGGTTCATGATTTTCATTCATGCCATGGAGGAGATCTGAGAAAAATCCAATTTGGGACAGTGGGGGTTTCCTGGACTTGGGATTTTGGGGTTGTGGTTGTTGGTCATGGAGGAGAGCCAAAAAAAATCCAATTTGGAGATAACAGGGGTTTGCTGGACTTGGATTTTTCCCTCATGGAGTGGAGGAGATCTGAGAAAAATCCACCTTGGGATGGAGGGGGGTTTGTGGAGGAGATGTGAAAAAAATCCAACTTGAGACAGTGGGAGTTTTCTGGAGTTGGATTTTTGGGGTTGTGATTATTGGTCATGGAGTGGAGATCCAAAAAAAATCCAACATCCACAAAAGATCCAAAAATCCAACATGGGACACTGGGGGTTTCCTGGACTTGGGTTTTTCCCTCATGGAGTGGAGGAGATGTGAAAAAAATCCAATTTAGGACAGTGGGAGTTTTCTGGAGTTGGATTTTTGGGGTTTTGATTATTGGTCATGGAGTGGAGATCCAAAAAAATCCAACATGGGACACTGGGGGTTTCCTGGACTTGAATTTTTTGCTCATGGCATGGAAGAGATCTGAGAAAAATCCAATTTGGGACAATGGGAGTTTTCTGGAGTTGGGATTTTGGGGTTGTGATTTTTGCTCCCGAAAAAAATCCAATTTGGAGATGGCAGGGGTTTCCTGGACTTGGGTTTTTCCCTCATGGAGTGGAGGAGATCTGAGAAAAATCCAATTTGGGACAATGGGGGTTTTCTGGATTTGGGATTTTGGGGTTGTGATTTCTGCTCATGGAGGAGATCTGGAAAAAAATCCAATTTTGGGATGGCAAGAGGTTTTCTAGAGTTGGGATTTTTGCTCATGACATGGAAGAAGAGATCCAAAAATAATCCATTTTGGGATGGCAGAGGTTTTCTGGACTTGTGTTTTTTCCCTCATGGAGTGGAGGAAATCTGAGAAAAATCCANGGATTGGGGGGGTCCCCACCCCAAAAAGAACTGGGACTGAAACTGGGGGGTCCCCATCCCTAAAAGAGCTGGGATTGGGGGGTCCCACCCCAAAAAGAGCTGAAACTGGGGGGTCCCCACCCTAAAAAGTGATGGGATTGGGGTCCCCACCCCTAAATGAGCTAGGATTGGGATTTGGGGGTCCTCACCCCAAAAAGAGCTGGGACTGAAACTGGGGGGTCCCCACCCTAAAAGAGCTGGAATTGGGGGGTCCCCACCCCAAAAAGAGCTGGGATTGGGGGGTCCCCACCCCAAAAAGTGATGGTCTGGGATTTGGGGGGTCCCACCCCAAAAAGAGATGGTCTGGGATTGGGGGGTCCCCACCCTAAAAGAGCTGGAATTGGGGGGTCCCCACCCCAAAAAAGGGCTGGAATTGGGGGGTCCCACCCCAAAAAGGGCTGGGATTGGGGAGTCTCCCACCCTAAAAAGGGCTGGAATTGGGGGGTCCCCACCCCAGAAAAAGATGGGTCTGGGATTGGGGGGTCCCCACCTTAAAAGAGCTGAAATTGAGGGGTCCCCACCCCAAAAAGTGATGGGATTGGGGGTCCCCACCCCAAAAAGAGCCAGGATTGGGATTGGGGGGTCCCCACTTCAAAAAGAGCTGGGACTGGGGGTCCCCACCCCTAAATGAGCTAGGATTGGGATTTGGGGGTCCCCACCCCAAAAAGAGCTGGAATTGGGGGGTCCCCAACACTAAATTAGCTAGGATTGGGATTGGGGGGTCCCCACCCCAAAAAGTGATGGGATTGAGGGGTCCCCACCCTAAAAGAACTGGGACTGAAACTGGGGGGTCCCCACCCCAAAAAGAGCCAAGATTGGGATTGGGGGTCCAACCCCAAAAAGGGCTGGAACTGGGGGGTCCCCACCCTAAAAAGAGATGGTCTGGGATTGGGGGGTCCCACCCCAAAAAGTGATGGGATTTGGGGGTCCCCAACCCTAAATGAGCTAGGATTGGGATTGGGGGGTCCCACCCTAAAAAGGGCTGGAATTGGGGGGTCTCCACCCCCAAAAAGAACTGGGACTGAAACTGGGGGGTCCCCACCCTAAAAGAGCTGAAATTGGGGGGTCCTCACCCCAAAAAGTGATGGGACTGGGGGTCTCCACCCCTAAATGAGCTAGGATTGGGATTGGGGCGTCCCACCCTAAAAAGAACTGGGACTGAAACTGGGGGGTCCCCACCCCAGAAAGAGCTGAAATTGGGGGGTCCCCACCCCAAAAAGTGATGGGTCTGGAATTGGGGGTCCCCACACCTAAATGAGCTAGGATTGGGATTGGGGGGTCCCCACCCCAAAAAGAACTAGAATTGGGGGGTCCCCATCCCTAAAAGAGCTAGGATTGGGATTGGGGGGTCCCACCCCAAAAAGACCTGGGACTGAAACTGGGGGGTCCCACCCTAAAAGAGCTGGAATTGGGGGGTCTCCACCCCAAAAAGAGCTGGAACTGAAACTGGGGGGTCCCCACCCCAAAAAGAGATGGGACTGAGATTGGGGGGTCCCCACCCTAAAAAGTGATGGGTCTGGGATTGGGGGGTCCCACCCTAAAAGAGCTGGGATTGGGGGTCCCCAACCCTAAATTAGCTAGGATTGGGATTGGGGGGTCCCCACCCCAAAAAGAGCTGGGATTGGGGGGTCCCACCC